AAAAAAAAAATGTTTTTTTAAAATACATCAGATTTATAAACTATGTACCTGAGCCTCATTTGTGGCATAATTTGTTATTCTGGTTTTCTTTCAGCTGTGTCTTCTCACTTTGCCCAAGATGTTTCATCCGAACATGATATAAAACATTCATTCCAAACTATGACGAAGGGGATATATAGTATATGTGGCCATGACAACTTACACTTAAAAAAAGAATGGGAAAGTGTAGATGAGTATGAAGGTCAGAATGCAAGTTACAGTGGATGTAACAAATTTGTGACAACTAAAGAGAGCAAAGAGTTTACCGCCAGCAGAGATCAACAACACACAGTATCTCCAAATGCACCAGAATTTATGCCTGCTGCTTTAAAAGACCCGTGTGTTTTTGTAAGTAAACATTCACATCAAATTTTGAAACATGCCTTTTCCCTCAAAGGAAATTTGGGAAATCTAAAAATGAGACCAGTCCATGCTTCACTTGATCACTTGAAAAATTTTAAATGTAGGATTGGATTGAATTTTCAGGCATTTGTTTTAGTAAACAATAAATTTAAAAATGAAGAACAAAATCCTAAATTTAATCAATTTAGTTCATTTATGAAAAGTTTGTTATTGTGCAATCAACAAAAAGGTCTTCCCTATACCAAGTTATACAATTTTCATAAGTATGGGAAGTTATTTACCCATCCATTATTGCATAATCAAACCCCAGTTATAGACATCTATAAATGTATGGAATGTGGCAAAGCTTTCAAATGTTCTTCAAACCTTACTCTACATAAGAGAATTCACAGTGGAGAGAACCCTTACAAATGTAGAGAATGTGGCAATGCCTTTAATAATCGCTCAGACCTTACTCAGCATCGGACAAGTCATAATGGAGAGAAGCCATTTAAATGTGAAGAATGTGGCAAAGCTTTTAAGTGTTGTTCACACCTTACTCGACATCAAAAAATTCATACTGGAGAGAAGCCATACAAATGTGAAGAATGTGGCAAAGCCTTCAATTGTTGTTCACACCTTACTCGACATCTGAGAATTCATACTGGTGAGAAACCCTACAGTTGTGAAGAATGTGGCAAAGCTTTTAGACATGGTTCAAATCTTACTCAACATCAAAGAATTCATACTGGTGAGAAGCCGTACAAATGTAAAGAATGTGGGAGAACGTTTACCCATTGCTCAACCCTCAATCAGCATCAGAGAATTCATAGTAGAGAGAACACTTACATATGTGAAGAATGTGGCAGAGCCTTTAATACTTTCTCAAGCCTTTCCATACATCATAGAATTCATACTGGAGAAAAACCTTACAAGTGCCAGGATTGTGGCAAAGCCTTTAACTTTCGTTCTGACCTTAATCGACATCAAAGAAATCATAATCAAGAGAAAGTATACAAATGTAAAGAATATGGCAGAGCCTTTAATAACTGTCCAAATCTTACAAAGCATCAGAGAATGCAAATGGGTGAGAAGCCCTACAAATGTAAGGAGTGCGGAAAAGTTTTTAAATATTTTTCACACCTTACTCGGCACCAGAGAGTCCATAGTGGGGAGAAACCATACAAATGTAAAGAATGTGGCAAAGCCTTTAATGAAAAGTCAAAACTTTTTCAACACCAGAGAATTCACACAGGAGAGAACCCCTACAAATGCATACATTGTGGCAAAGCCTTTAATAATTGTTCAAGCCTTACTCAACACCAGAGAATTCACACTGGAGAGAAGCCCTACAAATGTAAAGAATGTGGCAAAGCCTTTAACAGTTGTTCTCACCTTACTCGACATCAGAAGATTCATGAAAGAGAGAAACACTGCTGATGAAAGAATGTGAGCCTTTATCTATGGCTCAAACCTTACTCAACACTAGATGGTACATACTGCATGGAAGACTTAGAAATATAAAGAAGACTTTAGTAATTGCACAAACCTTACTCAACAGAGAATTAAACTATAGAGAACCCTAGAAATTTAAAGAATGTGGCAAGGCCTTTAATGGGAATTTAATCCTTATTCAGCATGACACAGTTTAAATTGTAAACGATATATATGCTGAGAATTTGGAAAACTGCAAAAAATATGCAACTCAGAAACTAAATGTTTTAATTGGAAAAAATTTTTACAAACGTATAGAAATCTGCAAAACTTGTCTGTATGATTATAATATATGTAAGATGATTATTACTGGAGAGAAATATTATAAATACATGAAACATGGCATGAACTAATTTGCTGAAAATTTACTAGACATCATTAGTTGATATCATTAGTTGATATGGTAGAAATAAATAAATTCTCATCACTGTTAGAAAATTATGTAGGTAATGCCTTCTGGAAGGTATATAAATTTAAATGAATCTATGGTTTTTAAATAGCTTCACTTTTGAAAACTAGATGAAGAACAACTCTCAAATAGATCATTGTATCAGTGGAATATGACTGCTGACAAGTTTTAAACATTTTTTTCCAAAGAATATACAGTAAACTTTTAAAATACTTTGAGTTTATTTATTTATTTATTTGTGGTGCTGGGGATTGAACCCAGAGCTTTTGCAATGAATTGCTTTTGCTTTTGCAAACCTTTATTTTGGAGGCTGGATTTCACTAAATTGCTCAGTTGCCAAGGCTGGAATTTTGCTCCTCCTGCCTCAGTGCCCTAATGTAATGGGATAACAGCTGGGCTTATTTCTGTAAGTTATATTTTTATTTATTTCTCATACTTTGTAATTACTGGGAAACTGTAATGGCTAAAGAGTATAATAGAAAGCCCTAGATTTTTTTAACCTGAATTACAGTTTATAATATTTTATAATTGATTTCCACATACCACCTTTTTAAACTATAAAGCATAGAGAAACTTTGGTATTCATTTACATTAACTGAAATGTATAAACATTACAATCTAATGATAAACTTTACATGTAAGAGAACTATAGAAATACTAATTGTTGGTGTGAATGTGTGTTTCTTTGTCTATTGAAAAGGGAAGTGCTGATACAGGAGATTATTCCAAACAGTTGATATTTTATTACAGAACCAAAAAACACATATTACAAAAAACCTATGTTGTTTACACTGAACTCATTTATTCCGAATGCTATGTTTTACTTGACTGGTACTTGTAGCATGCCTAGTATAATTTACTTGGTGAAATACTTTTTTGTCCTGTTCAGGAATTTTAAGAATGATTTTGTAATGTCTAATGGTATTCAGAAGTTAACTTGAAAATTAATTTCTCAGTGAACCTATTAATTTTTATTTCATTGGTGTAACTCCACTTATTCTGTCTCAAAGAGAATACTTTTGAGTCTTTTTCAATGTACTCCTTTCAATTTGATAAGTGACACTGTACAACTTAATGAACTTACTGAGATAATTTGTTCCCGTGAAAATTGGGGTGGCTTCATAATTCATGGAGTTTCAACATTTGTATGGAAAAAAAAAGAGCAGAACAGGGTATATAAAGATTCTCCACAATTAGAAAATTATTAATGTTATTATGAGTTTATTGATTTGTCTAAGAGAAGGAAATGTCCAATGTGAATAAATGGTATTAGTTCTATATGTGAAAAGATACCTATTCTAAGGCTACACAAGTGATACTTTCTGAATTTAAGGCTGGGCATGGTGGTGCATGCCTGTAATCCCAGCTCTCAGGGGGCTGAGGCAGGAGGATCATTGAGAGTTCAAGACCAGCCCTGACTATAAGATGAGCTCAAGGCCCACCTGAACTGCATAGTGAGACCCTATCTCAAAAAGACAAATAAAAAAAAAAAGAATTTAAGAGGAATTTTTTTTCATTTCCTGATCATATGCAGAATGTCATTGATTTCTGAATTCATTTATGCAGCCTCAGAATAGGTGTCCACACTCCACATTGCAGAATTTACATTTCTTCACCCTCGATGCTTTTTCCCTGATATGAAGCAAGAACATGTGAGGAAATGCCATACTGTCTTGTGTAATTGCTCTGCTAATTTGCATACCACAGCCAGCATGTAACAGATCCCCTTTCTCCGTCATCAACAGTTTTTCATCTTTGGCCTTTTTGATCGTAGCCATGCTATCTACACTTATATTATATGTAATTAGGGTTTTCATGTACATTTTTCTAATGATTTGTAATATTGAGCAATTTTTGTGTGTTTTGAACATTGCTGTTTTCTTTTGAGAAATGCCTGTCTATATATTTTGACAATTTTTAAATTGGATTACTTAGTTTTTATTTTGTCATTGAATTTTTTTATATCCTGACATTGCTAGTAATGCTATTAGGATGAGTGAATTATGTAGCTAGAGTAAAGCTCCCCATTGTATGCTTCCTCAGATTATACTTTATGTCTTCATATTTACTCTTTCATAACTATTTTGTTGCTTTCCACCAAGTATTTACTTTAAGACTCTTAATACTAGTGAGGCCTTTCGAGAAAATCTAAAATTGCAGTTCTTTGTCACAGTTCTCATCATCCGGGTACATTATAAGGATTGAGTTCAGCCTTCATTCCAAAAGCTGGTAGCAAACAGAGTCTGATGTGCATAGTTTGAAAGGGGCATGCAACTACAGCCTGTTTCCATTTTTGTAGCAGAAATTGGTGTTTTTGGCAGGAGACAGCACTCAAAAGCATGAGAGGAGAAACTCGCATTTTGGTCTCCAAAACAAGGAAATCCATTGTTCTTAAACCTCAACTCTGGTAAAAATCTTTATTGTATTATGAAGTTAATCAGCCTGTTTGTATGGAGGAGGTAGTAAGTGAAGGGTTTGTGTGGATAACATTGAAGTAAATTCTTAAGACACATGTGTGATTTATTCAGGTAATCTTGCCTGATTTAAAAAAAGAGGTAAGAGGAATGTATTTTTAAATGCAGTTGTCCATCATTAACAAACCAACATAAACATAAAAGTTACCAACTAGTCTTCATATTAAGGAAGCCTTTGGCAGGTGTCTACCAAATTCCTTCCTGGGCTTCCAGCTCCCATTCCACGACTGGGGCTCAGAGTTCCCCTTCTCCCAAATCTGCCTGTAGAAGGACATTTGTTTTCTGTTGTAGATCACAGGTTGAACTGTTGCACTGAAAGAACCTGAGAGGATTACAATCAGCTGTAATCAAACCCTGTTTTTTAATGGACCTGATGTCTTCAATTTGAAACTGATTCAGAGATCCTATGACCCAGAAACCCAACAAAACAATGTCAAATCCATTTATTTGGCCTGAGATTCTTGACTTCAGCGTCCTCTTTCTAAAAAGATAAATGTTCAGCAGGAACCTGGTGATTTCACATCTCTTCAGTGGCCTAAATCTGCAGTTTCAAACTCTTCTTTCAAAGTGTAGGAGTTTGCAGTAATCCGTAAAATAGTGTGCATGGGAGCAAGTGTCTTGTTTCCTCTTGTGTGTAGCAATGAAAATACAGAGTAATATATACAGACATAATGAATATGGTACTTGGCCTCTGCCTGGGATCCAAAGCCATCACACAATTTTGTACTAGGGGTTTACAACAACAATACCCCCCCAAAAAAAAAAATCAGGGAAATCGCTTAATAGTAAAAGATCAGCATTTTCTTTCTGAAGCCAGAAGCTGTCTTTGGGCTGGGTTGTATCCAGTTTTGTCTGTTGACCTGCTGCAGCTGTGTGGTTCCTGGTAATGCCACATCTGTAAGTAGAACAAAAGTCAGTGACACTATATTGTGTCTTCACCCAGCATCAAATGAAAGTGATTCATAAACTATACCAGTTTACTGGAACCCACACATTCCTAGTAATTATAAGTACATTCATTGCCTGTTAAGATTACTCAGTGTTATCTTTGTACCCCAGAGTTAGCTGATCAGGGAGACAAACCAGGATGTAAGAGTGGATGCACAAGCAACAAGTTTGTTCCCAATTCCGACAGCAAAAGCTCAGCTGAAATCTGCCTGGTTAACTACTTGGGCATCAGCCCAGGATTCCTGGAGGTGCTCTCATGAGCACCTGGAAGTCTTGAGCTATTATGCTGGCAAACTTATAATCATCTTTGTGGCTTTGTGGAGGGGGTGAGCCATCTATAGAGTGTCTCCATGCAAGGAATCTCCCTGGTTAGTGTCCATATGTGTTCATGTGGTTTACTGTTTCTTGAGAGTAATGTGGGGATCTGGAGAGTCAGACAGATAAAACAGTCACTTCATTTCTTGTTCCAGGAAACAAAAGGCATGGGTCCTGCCACCAGTGTATTTCATACTACATGAAATGAATTCGTTATTGAATTCAGCATCATGTGGACGGTAGGAGGAATGAGGTGTACATGTAGAGCTTATGGTGACTTGTTTTTTTAATGTTATCAAATAGACAAAAAGGGGCTGGGGATACAGCTCAGCAGCCTAAGTGCTTGCCTGGCAAGCCTCAGGTCCTGAGTTCAATTCCCAGTACCAAAAAAATAAAAATACACAAAAAGAATTAAAGTTACATAGACTCTTGGAGAATCTCTTGTGCTTCCTTAAGAAAGACGTAATACTGCAGTGTTGTGAAGAATAGCAGAAGTCGAGAGTTCACTCTGCTCAAACGGAGGCCTTGTCCAGATCTCATCCTTCACTTTGGAACCCCGCATAAAATACACCAGCTCGGACTTTTATCAGTGCTTCTCCCACTTCAAATTAGTATTCATAATTCTCACAAATCCAGAAGCAGACAAGTGGGGGCAACATTCTGAATATGCTAGTGCCTTAATTTCTGTCTTGTTATATCCTAGACCTGTACAGCTGCCCCAGCATTTCTCCAGACCCAGGAGCTGCTCTGGTAGTTTCAAAAATATAAAATATAACCTCAATAATACAAAATCCATCTGCACTACTTATAGGCCCTTTCTTTATGTATCCAATTCATTGTTTTTACTCTAGGCAAATTTTCAGTGCTAGGGAAAAAGAATTTGAAAAATGAGCATTAATATCTAATAATTATGAGATTACTTATACACAACTTGTGTATTATACAGATTCGGGTTTCTTGTTGCAAAGATGCATGCTCAGTAAATATTGCATTAGTGAATATGTTTCACATATTTAGAGTTTCTCAGACATAACTGCCATCTCTAGCCATCTGTAAACTTTAAAAGGCCAGCAAATGTCACATTTCAATATAGTTTGTTTTTTTGTTTTTTGTTTTTTTTTGTACTGGGAATCAAACTCAGGACCTTGTGCTTGCCAGGCAGGTGCTTGTGCCACTGAGCTATAACCCCAGCCCCACATTTCACTGTAGTGACTGATCTGTTTTGTCATAGGATTTTTGGTTGTAAGTTGCTGTGCTGACTTTTTTCTCTAGCTTAGTACTACTGATAATGGGTTTAGGGAACTGGTTAAAGATGCCAGTTTACGAGCATTCCTCAAAACCAGAAAATCGAAACTCCTTAGTCTGAGCCTGGAATACCAAGTGACTTACATATACAGAGAAGTGGAGAGATGTTACTTTCAGCCCCCGTCCAGGTTTCTAATTTATATCACACGACAGCTGTAAAAAATTCTATCACCTCTGTAATCCCCACAGATTTTGTCTGTTGGTGTGAGAGGAAGCATGAATGTTTTGTTTGCCTGCTCCGCTTAAGTGTGGAGTGACTCCAGAATTAAGCACAAGGTGTTACAGCTACATTTAGGACAGTTGAGTTTAGTCCTTTCCAAGGGCTTGTGACAAGCAGGGCTTGGTGCACATGGTTTGAAAGGGACACCTAACTGTAACCTCTATTTCTAGTTCTTTTGCAGAAACTTGTTCATGGCAGGGGAGAACCTAAAACCCAGAAAGGAAAAACTGACATTTTTGGTCTCCATGTAGGAAGCTCGTTATATTTGAGTCTCAATTATAATGAAAGCCAGGCAGGGCAGTTTTTACTGTCACAGTGTCATTCTTCCTCTGGGTATGGAAGTGTGTAAAGAGGTTATAGTAATACCACTTTAAATTCTCAAGAGAAATGTTTGATTTGTTGAAACAGCCTTGCTTCCCTGAAGAAGCAGAGAGAAGTCAGGTAAGTCAGCCCCCTGTCCCGGGGCAGGTGGCTGGCCAATCTCTCCTGAAGTATGTGGACCATCCTAACTATTATTACTCTGTTCCTGATGTGCCTGCCTGTTTGAGTTTGTTTCTTGTTTCCCATTTTTGTTTTTTTCCTTTGTTATGATAGTTGAGATTTTTTTAAAAAATACTTTTCGCCAGTATGCTGGAGCATTCTCTCCATTCTATTCACCACAGCATCTTATTGCCATGGACAACTTTTGACTATGAATTTATGAGCTTCAATTTAGAAGATCTTTTTTGATAGTTAACCATGGAATGTATAGACACCCTTATGGCTGTTGTTAATGGAAATAAGTCCTCTATTACCAATGCAGAAGGAAACCATACAGAGATTCCATCTGGATGTTGCATCAGTTCTGTGTAGAAAGTCTTCCAGTAATGCACAATTGAAGGTATGAAGTTGATTGCATTGAATGCACCAGAAAGTTGTATTATAAGAAATCAGAATTATAAAGTACTTCCTAATAAGCTATGGAAATATTATTTGAGAGTATTGAGATTTATAGAACATGAAAGACATTACGTCTTGAACTTCACATAATTTGGTTTAATGATTAGGTTCAGGTGCTGCTGTAGTATTTATTTTATTGCAGCTAATACCACAGGAGTGGTTATGTTTCCTTTGTATATATCAATACCAGGTCACAATACTCTTGCACCTGATTTTTAACTCATTAATTTAGTTGTTCTGTGCCAGACCCCTCCTTTGTAAAAATAAATATTTTTCTCTTTCATTATCTTGATGTTATTTATTGACTGAAGTGCATATGCATATACATTTAATACAGAATGTTCCCCTTCTGTAGTGTCCTTTTGCTTTTAGATTGCTTTGAAAAGCAGACATTTGTTTAGTCTACATAAGCTTTTGCAAATGGAGTTTATGAAACAGGTCTCAGTCCTGTAGGTTTCCATTTTATGTCTGATTTAATGTATAATCTGTTTTATCTGTATATAACATTGTTTGGGTTTTTTTTTAATTTTTTTTTTTTCCCCCAGTACCGGGAATCAAACTCACGACATTGCGCTTGCCAGGCAGGCACTGTGCCACTGAGCTAAACCACCAGCCCCTTCTGTATATAACATTATTTGATAAATTTTGGAGTCTAATGGGTTTTCGTTACTGTTCTCAACTGTGAGACACGGCTTTTTTTGTTTTTTTTTTTGCTTTTTTAGCTTGCTCCCCCAACTGAGGGTTCAAGCCAGTGGTTTCTGCCACTAAGCAACAGAGCACAATACCCGAGTGTTACTGTGTTTGAAAAATATCTCATTGAGTAATTCAAGCAACTTAAATAATTCAGAAACAATTTTCTTAACTTTCTTCACCCTGGATCAAAGTAAGAATTCTGACCTTCACTACATAGTCTAGAGTTTATCTTCCTTTTTTTTTTTTTTTTGAGTTTATCTTTCTTTTAACTCTTATTTTACAATCTTTTGACATTAACGCTTGTGGCAATAAAATTCTCCACAGAGAACGGATAATCCTGTGGAGCCAGCTCACTGCTAATTTATGTAAGAATGTAATAGAGAACTATAGAAGCTTGGTCTGTGGATGAGGATAACATCCTTACAAAATTCTTAATCACCATGTTTCAGTTCCTTCAGTTACATACTTTACCTTGCAAGCTCTTGCTTTGTATGAATGTCATATTCCAACTTCTTTAAAATGGCATTTTAAGGTAAGTACAGTGCACATCTATAACCCCAGAACTCTGCGAGGCTGAGACAGGAAGATCTAAATTTGCAAAGTGCTCCCTAGGGGCTGGGAATATAGTTCAGTGGCACAAGTCCCTGTTTAGCAAGCGCAAGGTCCTGAGTTCAATTCCCAGTACCAAAAAAAGACAAAGTGCTCCCTAAATATTCTTAAAAGTTTTGTGAAGAAGGAGTATTTTTAAGATAGGATTTCCTGGAGTTCTTGTAGTGTTTTCTCATTGCTGCTTAACACAGTATTAAGTTGGAAATTGAAGAATCCCCACCAAGAATCATGTGACTTTCTAATATAACATCTCTTTTCTGAAAAGTCAGATCTGGTCATGATTTTGTAAATTACACAGCTTTGCAGGTAATAGAGGAAAACGATTGTCCACCCATCAAGTTTGATAGCAGATAAAGTAAGCGGCACACGTGCAGATCCAAACATAAATGAGGAAGTTGGTTCTTCAAGTAGCAATACAAAGATGATCTTTCCTGGAAAACCTAGGTTTTCTTTCTTTGTTGTTTTTCCACAAGAATATTGTTTGTTCAATACCCTTAAATTATTTGATTCTCCTCTCCAGATTAACAATGATAGCCAGTGTCCTTGCAATGGCCTGTGAGGGCCTGCGTAATCTGACCGCTTTTGCTCTCAACTTTTAGGGCCAAGAAAATTTTTGATGAGGTATTTTCTATTAGGCCATCTTTAAGCTATGACATTAAGCCTCACACCTGAGTAGTATGCGGGCAGAAGTGGGCTTGGGAAAGTCAGAGGCTACTATGGTGGGACACAAGGTTAAGGTGATAAATCAGCCTTTAATAAGTGCAATAAGCCTTTACCTTTTGTAGCGTGGTATAGGCTCTAGTATTTTTCTGCTTTTGTGTCTTTTATTACTGTATATGTGGTGTTTGAGATAGAACCCAGGGATGTGCTCTTCCAGTGAGCTACATCATTGCTTATTTCGAGATGGGGGTACTATTATGTTGGCCATGCTGGATTTGAACTTGTGACCCTGCTGCCTTACCCTCTCAGAGTGCTTAGTCTGCAGGAATGCACCACCATGCACATCTGGTTTTGCTCTTTTTAACACCCACCATGAGCAGAATGTTTACTGAAAAGTAGGTAATTGTTATGAGAGAAAGAACAAGCCCTTTAGTTTCTCTTGCTTTTAGTAGGCGTTAATATTAGAGACCACACAATTAGATGGTACATTATTTTTCCCCTAGTTTTCCTATAGATAACATCTCTGAAACGTGGTTTATTACAATAGTTGCTTGGGTTACATTTCAGAAATGTAAAGGCTGCTTTTGCTAAAAATACCAACTTCACTTCGGCCTGCAGTTACCTGGTGTAACTCATGAAATCAAGGGCTATAAATCTGTTTTCATTTTTGTCTATCCCGTTTGCTGTCTTAACTCATCCAATTTGTATTCATCTCTGCATATAAACATGTTGGCCCTGTAAAAAATATATGAGACTGGCACGGGGTTAATTTGACACATTTCCCACTAGAGCTGGTATTTTACTTTCTCCCCTCTTCCCACATCCAGCACATGTAACCTGAGCGCCTAGAGTCCTTCATCGCTACCCTAAGGCCTAGGCCAAACCACAAGGCCAGAAGGTTTGCACAGGAAGATGGCCACAGCTACAACAGCAAGCTGGCAGTCCCTAGGAAAAGCTAGCCATCATTTTGTGTGCCAGGTCTCACACAAGAGGCAATATTAGAATCATGACCTTGGGCAATGAAAACGGTATTGGTCAATGCCAACAAATCGATAACTTCTTGCTTTGCTTAGAGAGGAGCCTTATCTCCCTTTTCTCGATTATTGTTAGGTCCATCTTGTGGCTTAAAACTAAAATGTCTCCCAAAAGTCAATATGTTTGGAAGGTGGCTGGATCACAGAGGGTGCTCTGTGCATCAGTGAATTTATTCACTGGTGAATCCAGTAGCTGAATGCGCTGTTCAGAGGTGGGGCCTGGTTAGAGGTGGTGCAGAGAGTACCTGAAGGGTGGACCCTTGTCCTCAGCTCCTCCCTTCTTTGCTTCCTGGCTGTCATGGGGCAAGCACCTATCCTCCACCTTCCTCTGTCATGCTGGTTCTCCCGTGGAACCAGTCAATCAGGTACTGAAACCATAAGTCAAAATAAACCCACATTGTGAGTTTTGGGTATTTTGTCCCAGCGATAGGAAAGTGACTGATCCAGATTTTGTCACCAGAGAAGTGGGGCTATAGGTATTATATCTGACCAAGTGACTAAGCCTTTGGAACTGGTTTGAGGGGTTTGGGAAAGTTAGGGGTGTTGGCCAGAGAAGCCCTGGAGAGTTGTGAGCAGTCACAACTTCTAGTGATGTCACATATCACTATATGTGGTAGTGCTCAGGTCTCAGAAGACCAGAGTACTGATAAAAATGTGCACAGTAGAGCCCAGTCCCAAGAGATTACAAGATGGTGTAGTTTGGGGTTATGCAAGGGGAACAATACAGGACACATAATTTATAAGATTATTTTATATTTAAAAAAAGGGGGGGGCTGGGGATTTAGCTCAGCAGCAAAGCGCCTGCCTGGCAAGCGCAAGGTTGTGAGTTCGGTTCCTGGTACCGAAGAAAAAAACCAAAAAAAAAAAAAAAAGATTATTTTATAATAGGCACCCAAAGACTCATATAGAAAGAGTGCAACAAATCTGTCTACACACTAAAGACCCAATGAATCCAACTGAGGGCCTGGATCCCATGACAATGTCCTACATGAGTTTAGCTGGAGGCCAAGAGCCCATGACAATGTCCCATGCAGGCCTATTTCATGGATCTGCATTGGGAAGGCCCCAAGGTCAGTGGTGGAAGCTAGAAAGTCTGTGCCAGGAGGCTGAGGGTTCTGTGCTGGAGCCAAGAAGCGATGCTCAAAGTAAGAACCAGAGCTCCCCGAAAAGTGCCATAGCCATCCTCAGCAATAATGAGGTACTAAGCTTCAACAATGAGGACAGCTGGGTTCAAAAAGCCAACACAACAAGCTTCTCAGGGAGACTGAACAGTGCACCATCTTCCCCTCTGGAGCCAGAAAGTGATGCTCAAAGTGAGGACCAGAGCTCCCTCAGTGACCTGTAGCCATTCCCAGCAACAGCAAGGTCCAGAGCTCCCCTTTTGATGAGAACAACCAAGCTCATCAGGAAAGCCAGCATGACAAGGTCCTTCCTCCAGCAGAATAGCCCGAGAGAATCAGCAGCTCCCTAATAGCTTCCCAATAGCTTCTACCAGCTCACAACAGCCTCACAACAGCTTCCCTAACAACCTGTCTTCTTCCTGTCCAGTTCTGTCTTTATGCTGCTGGCAACAAATCTCAGGTGGGCCTCCTCAACCCAGCAAGCACCACACTAGTTCAGTTCAACTGTGTTACAATTTGACCACCAGTTGTCAATCCACCACACAAGGACTCCATTGGCAGTTGACTAGAGGTCATGTGTTACATTCTATCAGAAAGTTTGTCTTAATTTTACCTCTGTCTTGAGATTTTGCTGGAGACCAAGTGTGGTGTACTAACCTTCTGCAAGAAACTTCAAGGAGATCCAATTTCAGGCGGTGGCATGGTTACTTCTGGCTGCTTTTAGGCACATCTGCAGTAAAAATCATGAGATAATGAGAGAGAATGTGTGTGTGTGTGGGGGGGGGAATGATTTGGGAAATGTGAAGCCTGGCCTAAAAGGAAGCCCCTGTGTGTAGAGTTGGGCAATGAAGATCATGATTATTAAAAAGATTAACATTTTTAAAAAGCCAAGTAGATAATAGAAAAGATGGCTTGAATGCATCTCAAGGATCAGGACAACACCCTCTATCACAAGGTCAAAGGTGCAGAAGTACAACCTTTTACTCAAGAAGAGAGCCCCTGGGCCCCCTTGCTCAAGAAGGCCATTGATGGAATTTGTTCCTTATAATTAATTTCACCATGCTCAGCGTCTAGGAATATAGAAGCCACTGTAGTCATGATCTGAGGAGGCCCAGCTACTGCTGGAGCTGGCAGAAGACCTTGGCATCCAAATTATGCTAGTTTTATAAGCATACTGATTGCAAGAGCTATGGGATCATGGAGGCTTCCACCTAGATTTCAATGAAAGGCCTGGAAGTTCAGGTAAGGAGCTTCTCAAAGTACATGAGGCTGTGAGAGTAAGGCTGAAGGTGAGCCAATGTGTGGAGGACCACTTGGATGACTCCTTGAAAGAAGAATTGTCTCCACTTTGGCCAAACCTGGCCCTATTTCCATGTATTGATATGTGCGAGCTGGCTAAAGCTTGTCTTTATCCCCTCAGTTATCTTTAAGTGACGCAAATGAGACTACCAAGGTGCTGATGAGTAAGTAGTCTTTAAAACAATGCAATAGGTCAGTGATGCCCCTATGTATAGCTTCTAAGTAGTGTGTGTCAGCTAGGCCGAGAGATGCCATGCTGTCAGCTGAGAATGATTCTCAAGAAAAGAGGCTGTGACTTCTCAGGGCTTGAAACTTCTGCATCAAAACTGAAGCACTGACCCCAAAACACTAGGTAGTGCCCCAGTGTGTGCCATGCACATTACTCTTTCTGCATATCTCTCTCTCTGTCTCTATTGCAGAGGTCAGTTCAGGCCTCCTACCTAGGCCAGCTCATAGCACTCATATACTTCCTACCACTCTCACAGTCACTCGTCCCCAAGCCACTCCCCTCTTCACAAATTAATAAAACCCGGGTTTGGCACTGAGTCAAGGCCTTTGTTCAGGTTAGCCACCGTTCTAGAGGAACTTAAGGCACCCTTGCCTCCTTACAACTACAAGTATGCCTTAGTGTCTTTATTCTTGCCATGGGTTGCACTGATAAGATTACAAATATAAACTTCACTAAAACGTGACAAGGTCCAGGAAGGGCTTTCTATACCAGTGGTGTGTTGTTTTCCTTGATGTATGCAGCCCTGCAACTTTTAGTGTTTGCACCCTTCTGTGTGCCTCAAGCTGCTGTGATCCTTGACTAGGTTTGTGGCATGTGGGTTTGTGAAGTTTTCCCCTTGCTCCTGACACTCCTCTATCTGTACACTCTAGAATGTGGAAAATGCCCAAGCTGAAGCATATTTCTGATTACACTGGTAGAAGGAGAAACCAAGTAAATGAATGGATCCTGTCCGGGAGATAGGCAGCAAGGAGAAGCCAGGAAGTATGCTGGACTTAGTTCCAGCACTTTTTTTTT